CACAGGCACAACAAAGACGGTCTTGTCTGAGTGTCTTCCTCCCCTCCTTCTCCTCCCCATTCATTAGCAGCAAAAGCAGCTGTAGTCAGGTTCAAAGACAATCTAAATTCTTTCTCTTTCAGTCACGCATTAAGTCCTTCTGTCTTTTTCTTTGTCTGGTTTCCTCTCATTTTTAATCATTTTCCCCCCTCTTTGTCCCTCTCCAAGCACCCCCACCCACCTCTCGCCAGCCCCCACCACCTCTCTCGCTCTCCTCTCTAAACAATGTCTTCTCCACATGGCCCAGATAATGAGTGGCGGAGCTAAACGAGAGGAAACACGGCTCACTATTAGGAGGGGAACGCTGACTGAAGGGTTTAAATAAACGGAGAGAACTTGAGGCCAAATCGTATTTCCAAAGACATAAACTAATGGAGCAGGCAGACATTCTCTGAACTAATACACACTCTGTTTAAAATACCGTAATAGTTGTGAAAATATACATATCTGCGTCGAGCTAACCAGCAGAGAGACTGGCAGAGGGCAGGCAGAAATATGCGTAAAGTGCAGCTATTCACAGATTTCTGGGTGCGACGGTAAGAACGCATTCCGCACACCTCACTTCTTTCAGAGGGGAAAAGCTCCTTACTATGCATTCATCAGCAGAACAGCTGTTACATGAAAAAGCTCGTCTTTGTCATTAAAAACTAATTAGGCAAACATGCTTTCTTAAGTGCCTCTAATATGCTCTCAGGCATAGAAATCCACACCCACTTATAGGCACAAAGAGGAGACCTCTCTGATGCACTCCATGGGGTTAATTGGGTTATCTAGACTGATTAGCATAACTAATTAGGATCCTTGTTAACGGATAAGTGATATTTATTCAATTAGCTCTCTGTGTGTATTACGGAGCTCTACACAGACTTGCGTGGTCCCTGGCAAAAGTTCAAAATGAAAACGAAGCGAAGCTGAATCGACATGGAGTTAGACCTGGGGGTGTCGACGTGTTTGTTCACCTCATCGTTTATCTTTCCCCACACACTTGGATGCTCATCAGGTGCCAGACGCCCACTACAAAACACACACCAAGCTTGCTTCATTGCAGCTTCTAAAACGCCCTCGTCACAATCATTAAGCCTCCGTATGGCATAATTAAAGCTGTTAACCAGATGAACCGAGTGGAACCAGGCTGTGCCAGTCATTACGTATGATCCGTGCAAATTTCCCCAACTGCTTTCCAAGACCTAGGGGAGGACTCTTCCTAAAAATGATCCTGTTTAGCACGTTTGACTTCTCCCACTGAGGGCCGACTGATAATGCAGCAGTGATGTTTACAGCGCAGATCATGGCAATAAGAGCAAAAAAAAAAAAAAAATTGTCCAAAGTGATGATGATCTTTTGCGAAGGCTAACAGCTTGCAAAGTGAAACTGCTCTTGAAGGTATTTCGTTTAATAGAACAATGCTGAGCTCATTCCACCAATTTATTTATTCATGTTTGCAAATGCAGACGCTCGCCTTTGCGATGCTTAACATGCGCTTAAGGCCGACAGTAAACACGAGAAAAAGCAAATCAACAGCACTCGAGCTTGCAAGTGAAAATTCACAAACAGGCTTCAACACTCACAAATAAGCAGAGGAGGGGTTGGGGGGGGGGGAATGAAAGAGAGAGACAGAAAGAAGGAGCGCTACATTTACTGAAATTAAACATTTTCTCATCAGCCTGAGGGTGCAGCAGGCCCACTAATGTATTATTCATCCCCACTTCACAAAGGAACATTAATCAATTATGAAGATATGAGGATCTTAAAGTATAGAGGAGAGACGAAGTACGGCTCATTCGTATTAATATGCGGCCGCAATCCTGTGCCCCCCTCCACCCCTTCCCTCCACACACACACCCTTGGTACTCAAATCAATATTTTGCAGATTAATTTGGAGCAGTTGTGGCGAGATGGCAGGATGGAAGGAAGTAGGGGTGTGGGGATGGAGGAAGGGAGAGTGTCTGAGGTCTGAATTAAGGTGATGTTCTTTTTTTTTTCCCTCTTTCGAATTTGAGAGTGTGGATGTCCATTTGTGGTGATGTCTTTGGGACAGCTAGAGGGAGCCATTAAAATCTTCTTGATTAGTGTAAATGTAGCATATTGGAAATATATGCATTCGAATTCAAAATAAAACACCGAAATATGGCTTCTCCAAAAAGAGAAAACACATTATAAGTGTGTGCCATTCATACTCTATAAGTTTTTTTTGTTTGTTTGTTTGTTTTTCTTACTGCAAATGTGATTTTATGTATGAGATGAACACAAAGTGGCTCAAATGGTACGTCAGAATAGTAATTCGTCATGGGTGTCGCTGTAACACTGGTGTTAAGGCATATGTGTGTGTGCTCTGCCAACGGGCCAACATGACTTGTGTCAACTTCTTTCCAGAGACCTTGCTGGAAAGAAGTTTGAATGGTGGTGGAAGTTGATATTTTCCCAAATTTTATTTAATGTTTTTCCAAAATAAAGTACTCCACAAACTGCAGTTAAAATGAGAACCTTGACAGACCAGTCAAGATGCCATGACCAACACAGGACAGAGAGAGAAGCGGCGCATTAGCAATTCTTGCCCTTCCCAATGTCCTCCCCCTGTGCCTCCCAGCCCACATTACAAATGGTTCCAACGCCCCTGGAAGCCGGTCAGAATTGATAGGAAGTTAGATGGAACTATGTACAGGACTGTCCTGGAAGAAAACCCGAGGTTGGTTTGAGGTTTGTGGTTGTAATATGAAGAAATATATCAAATAAAAAAAAAAAAGGTTAAGGGGAATGAACAATTTTTTCAGGAGAGTAGATCACATCGTTAGTGAAAGTACTATTTTCATCATACATGAATGTTATAGAGTGTGATATTTTGACTTCAGTCCATGGCAAAAATCTATATTTATATGCATTAAGTTGTTTTGGTCTTTAAAGTGAAGGTACAAATCTTAACGCTCTTTGAGATGATAAATGAACTATCTCGCACCAGACAATTAAAGTATGCAAGCCAAAAATATAGCATGCCTGTTTTTTTTTTTGTTTTTTTCTTTAACCCAGTTTAGACAGTTTTGTCTACTGCTTTGTAGCTCGGTAAATAAATTAGTCACTAACAGCAGTAATATATTTACCTCACAGTCCAGAACAGTTGCCTTATTCTGCCACTTTCTAACAGTTTGAATCTTGGTATTTTAGTTCTCCTCAACTCTCTTCTTTCTCTCCCTTTGTCCTTCTCTCCCCTTCCCCTTTATGCATTTCTCTCTCTCGTTCACTTTTCTTCCCTTTTCATTACCTCTGCTTTTCTGGTTTCATTTTATGTTTTGCCCAGCTCTAACTTCATCATCTCCTTGAGCATCTCTTTGTTCTTAGAATCGGCTTGGAGAGCTTAGATTGGCTTGCCATGTGGTCATTTCTTAGCAATAACCTTCATGCAGTTACAACAGAGTAAATAACTACTTCCTCTGCAGGTGCAACAACTTCTCGCTCATTTCCAGCTTTGGCATTGCCCTCAGCCTTACTGCTATTAAAATGTAACAGGGTTGTTTTTTTTGTTTGTTTGTTTGTTTGTTTGTTTTTTTAAGAGAAACATTTTATTTTTTAGGCATGCACTGAGAAATCAGCTGCTGAGTTGAGTCAGACGATTCCCATCTTGATTTGTCCAGTCCGGTGACTGGCTAGTCCAAAAGACAAAAATCAGTTTGTGCACACCGTGCGTAATTATGGCCAGATTACAAGAACAACACTTTTCAGTGTGGTCCCTCTTACTGAGGGAAGAAGAGTCAAACTAAGCAAACGTTACGGGTTCTGCAGAATTTTCTGACTTTTTTATTTTTTTTTTCCTCTGAATGCCCAAAAATATACTATGGATTCAAAAATGTAGGGGAAGTTTTTGAAATGTTAACTTATAGATCCTAATTCTCAAAGGACTAAACACAGACACTGATGTCTTTGTAAAAGCTAACTGCAACAGTTGTTCATATAAAACACGTATATATCAGCAAAAAAAATTTAAATACTATAATACAAAAAATACATCTAAGAAGATACACAATATATAACGGAGAGTACATTTCCTCACATTATTATTTGCATGTAACTGTTTAATATGGCTCAATACTTGCAAGACTCTATAAACCCAATAAGGTCCTAAAATGTGTATTTTTGTCTTCCGAGATAATATTGAAAAGAACATCTCGTGGACATGTAATGTGAAAGGATTGTTTGGTTATGATATTGCTTGTGCAATTTAAGATCCAAACAGAAACAAAATGAAGCAAAAGCAAAATGGGGAAAAAAAATACAAAAATACTGAAAATATCATTAACAGAACAACCTCGGCATACTTTAATTGCTGCTCTAAGGCTCTGTAATTGCACAAACCGCCAATTAGCAACAGTACAAATAAGTCAACTCACATGCATCATAGATAAATGGTAACCATGCACATAAACAACTAACAACCCTGGGTTTACCACAAACACATATGACTGTGGGTGTTCATTTCTGCAGGCCTGCGAGTGTGAGTTAGCTTGTGTTTTAACCATAAGCCACAGAAGACAGTAAAACAGCAGTGGGTATAATTTAGTGACACCCTGTAAGGAGGTGTGGGAAGGCCGTAAAAAACTCTCCCTTTTAATCCCAGCCGGCAATGCCATGTTTGTTACCCAGGGCTGTGAGATATGCTGGTAATTCATCACACACGCCACGGTTTCCTGTTAAATCTGGCTGCACATGAAGCGCCCGTAGCACAGCTGCCAAACCAATATCATAAAAAAAGGCTTTGCCACTTCTCGGGCAGGCTTCTAAACAAGAAGCATGCAGCAAAAACAGTCTCCTAAATTAGGTATTTACTAGTGTGGTCAGTTTTGGAGCAACACTAAAGAATTCTGTTAAGATAGCAGGGTTTTTTTTTTTTGTTGGGTTTTTTTTTTTGTTTATGTAGTTTGTGTTTATGTTTATATAAGCATTTTGCGTGAGTGTGTTGGAAGACGTCTTACTTTCCACTTCGGCGCCGTGAAGCTGGATGACCACGTCTTCCAGCTTAAATTTAGAGGTCATCTGCAGCACTATGCCAGACCTACGGCAAACAAAACAGGGCAAAGAAGGGGACAAGCACACCTAACAGATTAGAGAAACATATTAATACTACAATCAGAAATACATGTCTCTTTGTGCAAACTATACAATATTCTGTTTTTATAGTATAGCACACTGCTCTTAATTGTGTTAAAGTACTCCTAACAATTTCTATGGTTTGAGCGACAAAGTCTAATCAGTGTACATATGGAAAAGGATTCTCAAAAGAAAAATATAAGATGTGGAATGAATGTGTACACTGCAGCTTGAACTGTCTCTTTTAGAATATTCCGAAAGAGGAGACAAGCCGTAAGAGCACATTGTTGGTTTAACGTATTTGCCCAATACGTTCGACTTGCTAAATGACAACTAAAATGAGAACAGTGTACATTGTGTACATTAGAATGAAATACATTTTGTTTTAAAGCACAAAACGTGTGCAGAGCCTGATTAAATCCGTGCTAGTCGGCAGCAGCTACATTTGAAGTGCGTCTGCGTGTGAGGTTGTGTGTTTCCCCAACGGTGAAAATTTGTTAGCTCTGCCCAAGACACCTTTCTGATTCACTAGTGACAGCTGTCACACACCCAAGATGGAATGAGAAGGAGAAGAAACAGATCTTCCACTTCTGGGTGGAAGAAATTCACAAACACGCACGCAAGCACAAAAAAAAGTGCTCACACACACACACACACACACACACACACACACACACACACATAATTTCATATTTACCAGCCTCATGAGATCAGCTATTCTGCTGAAACTTTGTGTAGATTAAAAAATGTTAAACTTACATTTGATCAAGCGCGTCTACACTTTTGCACCAAGCAGAGAAGGAATGGTAAGATTTGACAAAAGTGACATGTGAGTAGATGGAGCGCGCCGAGACTTTTCAGTCAAATGTAGTATAAGTCACAAAGGAGAACGTGAAAAATCCGACTTTAAATTAGAAGTCTGTTTTAGTGTCTATAAAAGAATGAGCAGATGTGTGCTCTACTCTTAATCCACTTGATAATTTTTTTTTTTTTTTTTATTCCACCTCAGTACCTCAGTGCCACTTTTCTGAGTTATTACTGGGCTGGGTAGTACCGTTTCAAAAGTTGTTGCTTAAGCAAACAGTATAACAGATAAGCTGCTATTTATGTATCCCAAATTAAGGGCATATTTTCTCATCAGAATTAAAGGACAGTTTGCTCAAAATTTTTTGCCGTTTGTTTTTCATATGCTTAAAGTAAATACATGGCAATGCAAATTTTATGTAGAAAATAGCCTGAAACTAAAATAAATTATACATCAGAAAATAGACTTAAAATGTAAAAACAAATCAGTTTAGTTCACTTTTTCTTCCTTATTGGACTAAGACTGACTGTGTGTATTGAACATGTATTGCTGTACTAGATGCAGCTGAAATGCAGAGCCATCATTTTCAAACAGGGCTACATAAAAAAAAGAATTTAATGTCCTTAAAACTCTTTATTATCATTGAGAATTATCCATGTAAAATCAAAAAGTTCCACAGAAGCATTTAATAATTCTTTTGCCAAGTGAAATGCAAATTGCCACCATTTTTTTGTCTGCAAAAATGTCAAAATGCAAATTTATTCATGTCTGTCACAAGTATATGTGTGCATATTATTGTAGGTCATGATTATGCATGTAATAAACGAGTCCATAGAACTTACAATTTTGTTATATACAATAAGCAGTTGCACTAAACAAATGGCACAATGTCAAACCAACAAATGAACACAGGATTCCTGTTTAAAGCAATAAGCTTTGTTATGATTAGCTTGTGGACAGACAGAGTAGGGTGAGTGAATGCGTGTGCGTATGTGTGTGTGTCGCTGTGAGCGTGTGTGATATTAAAGCAAGCTCTCGATTTCTCAAGCTGTCACTCAGGCCTATTAAGCAAGGCTAACCAAATTAGTCATGAATATGCAGTAATAACATGCAAATTGCCACCACTTCCCCCCACCCCAAGCGCATGCGTGTGTGTGTGTGTGAGTGTGTATATGCGTTTGCCCTCAGGGCTATAGACATTGGCTCTGTAAACCCAATTCTTTCTACATCATTACAGCAACAAGGCATAATTCATAAGAAGAATATAAACATACATGTAGTCTGACATGCATGCATGATCACCTACACAAAGGACAAAGGTCCCTTGCGCCACCCCCCTCACGTGACCGGCCGCTTTTACTGCCCCCCCCCCCCCCCCCCTCCTTTATGTTGAAGAACAAGTTTTGGGGTTTCCTATCTGCATGTTAGAGCTTGTAAACACACCAACACGTAGATAGTCTGTTGCCTCCAAGTCCCCAGGGTGGTGTTTAACACAGCCTGGGTGCTGCCACAGCAATTAACCTCCCTGTTAATGAGAGGAGCTCTGTCAAGCAGCCAGATGGCACTGCCTGGCAAGCTGCCATGCACACACATGCATGCACATATGCCCACACCAGTGCTCTCACAGAAGCACACTTCAGCACACACACACGCACGCGCACACACACAGGCAGTCAGGTCTCCCTCCGCTGAACATCTAACTGTTGCTGGTTGTCACCGTCCTTCCTTCAGCAATTCCTAAGGCACCCCTCCTTCCTCGTTCTGCACCAGCATTGTCTTCTCTTTACCGTTCTCCTCTGCTCTCCGTAGCATCATCTCTGGCAGCTGCTTATCCATGTTGCAGCCCTGCAGATGTCACGCTGATGACATCTGCATAACAGATGACAACTTGCCAGATGGGAACAGCAGGGGAGGAGAGGGGAGGAAAAACTGAGGGGAAAAAGGAGGAGTTGTGTGTATCGATGTAATTAACAGAGAAACAATCAACGAGATTCAGATTTATAAATTGTTAAATAATTCTTTTTGTTTTGGCGTCGTTTCTACAGAAATGTCTGTCAAATAACAACCTGCTGGTTTTTATTAAATTATTAGATTCCCACAAATAGAAAAAAGCAACTTTGTGACTTTGGTCTGATTTTGAGAAATATAGTTTTTTAGCAATACAAACTTTTTAAATGCATTTTTATATCGGAGAATAAACAAAATGTTCTCAAATCAAGGCGAATACATCAGAGCTTCATAAAATCAGTAATTGGAAGTTGACAGGATTATCTATGATCAATGATTTTGCACTGTAAAAAAAAAAGAAAAAAAAAAAAAGGCTAAATGAATAAGGGGATATGCATGCTACAACTGTTTGTAAGTGAGCATAGTGGTTGACCAGTACACAGTCCACTGTGTGCGCCTGCCTGCATGTCCATATGGCAGCCCACCGGGCCCACATATTGATCAGTTAGCTGGGCCTAATAGGAGAAGAGGAGCCTGACCTGGGAAAGTCAATATGGAGAAAAAGAGACATATCCTCCTTCTGTCCTGAGAGAGGGAGGAGAGAGAGGTAAGGAGAGAAATAAACAGAGTGTGGAGACATAGACAGAGGTAAGAGGTAATACATCTATAGTGTCGGTGCAAAGGGAAAAACAGTAAGGGACGAGATCAGTGGCCGACAGTGAAACAGCTGGACAACAGAAAAGCAAGGCGTGCTGTGAAGACACGTATTTAAATAAATATTAAGAACTTTCACTCCCTTGCAGCCTAAATATCTTATTACCTCTGTTAACAAGAAAAAAAAAAGTTTTGAGTTTGAATAAGAACAGCTACACTGAGGGATACTGACTGTGTGTGAAATAAGTTCCTACCTTTCCCACATGACAATCAGGATATTCTGTCAAAGCATCTTTTTTTTTCTAACTAACTTTCAGCATTTGACTGCTTCTGCTAAAGGAAAACAGCACTCAAGGTAACTCAAGTGTAAAAAACTCTGCAGGAGATTATACTGAGGAAAATAATTAAAATATTGGGGGAGATGGAAAATGAAAAAAAACAAAAACTGACATCCACTCACACATCAATACATTGATAGATCAATGTGCGTGCATGTGTGTGTGTGTGTGTGTGTGATTGAGGGGGAGTCTGTGTGTGTTCTGTACACCATTTCACCAGAAATATATAAATAAATTTGTAGATAAACAAAAAAAAAAACAGAAGAAATGGAAAAGTAGATAAAAGACTTAGGTTTCACCAAGTGAAAAACACACACACATACACACTGGCATACCTGGCTGAGTGATGCTACCCTGGAGGGTGGCTTCAATCTGATGGTGTTTAATGTTGACGCTAGTGGCAAGAAGCACACACACTCACCCGCTGTTTAAACCTGCCTGTCATTTCATTTCATGAGACCTGATTTACTCATTTCATTTATTTCGTTTTTTTTTTTTTTTTATTATATTATATTATATGTGCACCCATTTAAAACGCTAAAGGTGTGATGCAAATCCCCACATCTCTGACAGCAAGTACACTGACTGAGGATCCATCACGGCCTCCGGTGCCTTTTACACACATGGCAAAGAAACCTTGCACGGCAACAAACTCAGCTGTGTCACATTGTGCAAGACCACTGATTCCTGCTTGGCTGGCTGCTTTAATTGGCTGCACTGCAGGCTGTCACACTACTGACTGCTACTTTTGACCATATTTGGATGTGTTTTGGTTTCAAATGACAGATTGGAGAAAACAACAAGTGACTGCAATAGCTACCCACTTCTATGGAAATTAGCATTTCCTTCACAACAGATGTTATGTTATCCTTTAGAGTGATAAATGCAGTAGTTTGATCAATATTACTACAAAACGCGTGCAGGCAAACTGCATTTGAAAACCACGATAGGTGCACTGCTTAATTTGCTAAACAGTTTTCAAATTCAAAATACAAAACTCACAATATTTTCTTAGCAAAGCCTTTACTCGTCCAATATGTTTAATTGTCCGTCAAAGAAAAAGAATAACATTATGATTATGAACATAATGCTACTTTGATTAGCCTTGTCAAAATGTGTGAAAGCTAAAATGACAATCTTCCAAAACAGAAGAAGAAAAAGATTGAAACAGAACGAGTCTGTAGGGCTTTCAGAGAGCTGCATGGTGGGAAATATC